CATAATACGGTCCGAAGAAAGGACGCGTGCAATCACTCAGTACTAGATCTTATTGCAATCGCTCAATGAAATAAATGTTGTTCACGCTGATTCGCTGAATTATGAATCACTCGATGTAATGTTTTCGTGAAACTGAATCTCTTGCGATAATATTATGGCCAGAATCATTGTCAGGTACACGACGGATAGGGAAAGGTTGGAAATGCCGTGAATCTAGAGTCGAGCGGAGGATAAACCACTCTGTAAAAGTCGTCAGAAAGCGTCAATTATGTAAGGAGATATTCTAGCTTTCAGATGAAATCTGTGCTCAAATGAAGTTTCCGGTGGGAAGCTAATTTAGAGTGCTGCGAGTAATCTTAATGATGATTCTGATTACTGCAATGACTAATTGTAAGATCACCTATGAACACGACGTAGTAATAGTTTGATCGCAGAAACTATAAAGAACGTCAATTTTTGATCTGATGTCTCAACTCATATAAAGTAGTACCACATCGAAGAACAAAATCAAAAAAAAATCGCTCTTTACACACAAAAATTCAATTAATTACTTGCACTTTTTCACGAAGACGACTGAATTGCATGTTTATAAATAGTACATTATTTTTGTAGTAGCAGTCAGTTGAATTATTGCATTCACGTATTCATTTTATTCACAATTCGTGAGAACAGGTTGAGATATTTGATGACAGCCACATGATTGATCGTAGTGATTTCAGGAACAAATACATCATCAACACTGTCTTCATGAACGCTTGAGAATGTGACATTAGGAAATGATTTTTAAAAAACCAGGAAGTTTAATTTCGAAATGGTCATATATCTTGTTGCATTGTCGGAATTCCACAGATTAGTACCAAGCAGACAACGAATGAATAACTAGTATAGAATCAAATCATTAATCATTAATGGAGATCATTAAGAATGCGAGATGATATCTACTGTTTACAGTGTTTCTGTTGAAGGGCAACCTCATATAAAGTAAAAAGGAAGGGGCCTCGAAAAGTACACATTTTTACACTCTGAATTCATAGCAAATTATTGCAGCAGATTGATCAACCAGCTCTGTCCTTACCGAAGAATATGGGAGCAAGAAAGATATTGCTCAATACTGCTCTAAAGTAAACCAAACCAAGCCCGAATCTTATGATAGTACAATGTCAGCCAATTTGAGCCTGAATACAATCAACAATCGACTGAATCTTCTTCACGAACAAGCTGTATCGTTCGACAGTAACAATTCAAAATGAACATTCGGTTGCTAAACGTCATTTCTTTTCGAACATTCGAACACTTCCTCGTAATTATCTCATTTCTGAAATGACAGCTGCGTAAGCACTTACTTTCAGATGACATTTTAGCCGTTTGAACGCCGCCACAATGAGCTCTAAATGATGAGGATTGTGTTGGTGAGATTAGGGATGATACGATGCGCATTTCGTCGACTTTCCAGGAATACTTCATAGGAGAGTTTCAGTAGAAAAGCGACAGCATTGCATAATGTGACATGCATATGAATGTTTGTACAGTTTTTGAATGAATTAATAAAGGCACAGTTGATTGATTAATAGTTTCTGAAAGAGTTTCAGGGATGAAAAGGATGACATAATCAGTGATATAGAGGGTGCTAATATAATATGATAATTGCATGTAAATATTTTCGAAACGTGTTTCGATGATGTACAACCAGTTCGTTGCTTTCCAAACGATTCGACGGTTGGTGGTGATGAACAGAGGATGTAGAAGGGGATGGATAGACGACTGCAAATTGGAGTTCACATGAACGCTTGTAACAGGTTTAAAATGTTGCTGTGATAACAGCCTATTATGCAGTGCTGTTTTGTTTCTCATTACGTAATTGCGTTGATTAAGCATCTGTTTCAGAACATTCCGAAGAACTTTCACTCATTGATGTTGATCACTATTCTCATCCAATCGTTTCTCTAGTTAACCGAATTATGATCGTTTGAAAGTGTGTCATCATTACAGTCCAGCGATCGGGTGTCCATTTTCTTCTATCATTTTGGCATAACTTCCATAGTGATCATTATTCAGTGATAGCGTTTATAATTCTCGAGGTTGTCCACAGAAATCCACATGAACGGAAGACATTTTTCAGTACATCTGATAAATGGGAATATTCATGATTCTCTTCCATAACGTATCATATTCACAAACGGTATCTGATTGCAAATATTCGCTGAAGAGTGAAAACTTGATGAATACTTTGTTTTCCAAATGAAATTTTTGACGAGTTTTTTACAATTTATGTGTATATATGATTTTGCATCATGTTCGTTTTTGATGTTTTCACAACCATATAAGATTTTAGGTCAACTTCATTCCTCGTGTGCACCGCCATTTAATTCTATTACAAATCAGCATATAGTCATGCGCAACAAGAACTTAGAACCGTTTCCCACTTCACAGTAGCACTGCAACCGAAAATTGCGTCCAATAGATAACTTTTCAACTTTTTGTTAGTATCGTTCAGAAATGAATCATTGCAACAGATAGGATGAAGTGTTTGAGCAGTAAGATATTCGGGGTATTCGTCTCATTATGAAACATTGCAAAATATTCGACTGGCGATCTGCCTTTAGCCAAATGCNCGGCTCAAAACACTTTGTTAGTTATGCTTTTCGCTATCAAAGAGATGATTGATAATTCTGAAGTTCATCACATTTTACTTCGTATCGCCGTGATACTCAATGCTCACGGACGGTGAGTAGCAAAGAGGATGCATCAAACTACAGAAACAAAAACAATTCAGCCCAACAATTAAAATCACTTTATCCACTGGGTAATCAAAATAACTTTACTATATGAATATTATGGAACATAAAATTTATCTCACATGGTAAGTGATATATTGTTGATTCATTCAAAATATTCAATAAAACCATATAAATGTAAATATAACTGAAAAACAATACAACGTAAGCAGCAGCGAATTAATTCGTCTACATATGCAACGTTTAGAATGAATTGGAACGTGATATCATTTCGGTGGGATCGAATTTTGTGGAATCGCAATGTCAATTTGGTGAGAAAAATCGACGACATTTACTTCGTATCGACAGATTACTAATTCCATACGACCAATCGAATCGGTCATGAACACAATAAATTCCAGTACGAAATGGTAAAAGTGGAATTAATCCAAATCAATTATAATCCAAAAGCAGTCAAGTAGCAAAATGGGTCAACTGCTCTAGCGTTGCGAGCAACCACACTTGGACTTATTTTCCAGCATTTTTAGAACCCCAATTGCTCAAGATTTCATCGCTTTATCAGCTGCCGCTTTATCTACTATTCTCTTAAACATCTTCTAGAAGCACTGATTCGGCAAATCAGCTAAAATTTGTTGCAGTCACTACAACCACCTGAATGAATGAACCATTTCAAATGGCACATACAAGTGTCAACTAGCAATTCCGCGCATATCGTTTAGTAAGAAACGTGCACAAAACATATCGCAGCACTCTCAGATCTGTGAACACCAAGCGGATTATTAGACTGAGCTGATTAAGAATACTGAGCATGCAAAACGACAAATCACAAAGAATTCAGTGCAACTTCACGAACGTTTCAGTCGCAGCAGAATCTCTGTACAATCCAAATCAACGCTACCAGCGTAAATTATAAAAATTTCACAAAAATGTTCACAAATATCAGTTGTTTAGCAGTGAGCGGAAATTATGGTTTGCCATGAATGAAATAATATTCACACGAAAACAGCGCTCAGAACGTACATCTAGAATTAAAAACGCAATGGAATGGAACAGGAAAAATGCATTTGAAAGTTGAATGCAATAACGTTGGAAGCGGAAAACTTGAAAACTTCACAGTGACACCTTTCGATGATTTGTAGAAGATGGAAACCACTTTTTTAATGAAATTATTTCCACGCAAAATGACAGCATTTTATTTGGAGAAGTCGTAAAATAAACTTGTTTATCATTCAGCATTTAGTTGAAACCTGACTGAACGTCTTTTCGGCATTTGCCGGCTGACTAAAACGTGAGAATGTACAACAATAACGAATCAATGATAAATGCGCAAAGAACTGAGGCTTTAACTTACCAGGCTCATGTCACTTTAGGTTCTTCTCAATAGCAATGTGACACTNAAATTTAAGAAACAACAGCAAATTTAATGCCACATTTTTGCTGCAATTCATTCCGTGTGATCAGCTGAACGATTGAGGTTGAACATTTGAGAATTAGGAAGATTACAACGGCATCAGTGTATTTCATCAACACCGATCAGCGCTGCGAGTGTTCTTTTTTTTGGACTCAAAAGCAAGACAAAGTCAGGAAATGCTCAGCTCCGTTTACACAAAATCAACAAACACCACCGAGAATCACACAGAACTACGAAGAATTCCTTGAGAGAGGAAAGTGGATCGAAGACAGTTCCCTCGAAGACTATATCAATCGCAAATGCGTATTTCAGAACTAGCGCAATTTTGATGAGACTCACGATCAGCTTTGAAAGAATCAAGGAATAATGTCTGAAAAGTCACTACACTGAATACAAGTCTCACCAACAATGATAAAAACTAAATATTATTCATCACTAAACGCGAGTTTTTTTAGAACAAAAAACTGCATTCAACATTCTTAGCGAAACGTTCAACGTTCAATGTGCAATGCTAGGAAACCGAAAATGTTGATGATGAGATCCGTTGCATAGCTGATAATCAATCAAATATTGAATACAATAGATGAAAACGTTTTGGAGACAATTTCTTGAAAGGAACCGATCACTTTCTATTAGCGAAAATGATGATTGACTGAACAGGAATTAAATGAACATTAAGCATAAAACTGTTAAAACTGAAATGAACGCATGATCATCACTGACAGTTGTAGAACGTAGTGAATTATAGAAATGAGAGCATATTGAAGAAATGTTTGAGCCAAGTTTTGTTCTGTTTCCGTGTTCATAGACATGAATGGAATAATTGAATGAGATTTATTCGTGATTTGTCTTTTTTATGCGTTTCTGTAGAGTACAGCGAGTGATGATAATTGCTTTGCGATTCCATCATAAAATGCGGCCTGTTTTTCCAGATAAGCACCCATCATTTGTTTGAAATCTTCGCCACGTTCGTGATGTTGAAAATCCATTTCGGCCAGAACCGCATAGCTGATTGCATCCACTCGACTACGAATACGTTCCGCTTCAGCCGTTGACACTTTATTTTCCATCGATAACCTCTCATTTTCTCGTAATTTCGACATCGCTGACTTAAAATTCAAACCTCTCATTTTCACATTACATTTCTTCCACGAAAATAATTTTCTTTACAAGCTCTAATCAGTGAACACAACGAATGCAGAATAAATAAAATGGGTAGTTCGAGCGAAATTCAGCACCTAGTCGCAGAATAATGATAAGAACGAATTAATGCTTGGTTCTGATACTGAAACTGATGAGTGCTGATCAGTGTTACAGCAAATTCAACAAGTGTCAGTTTTGGATGTTGTAATCGCAATGGAAATTCCCCTCTAACCTTATGCACGTTCACCATATCGGGCATACCAGCCAAAATGCCCTTATATGAATACAAACAATCAAGTAGAGGATCCAAATCTTGCTTTGCGCTCTCTTCGTGTGCATTACCGATCTCATGAAATACATGCGCAGTCTCTTTTAAGGCAGCTGTCACGGGTTGATTGGCTGAAAATGTGAACTTGATCAATGATCTAAATGAAGCTGGAAAAAGCACTGAAAAGGTGTTATAGTGAAGCTGAGGTAATCATCATGGCAGATTCCGTTGAATTCCGTTCACAGAATTTAATGTAATGACGGGAAATAAGCATAATCCGATGACTACTTTCGCTATCAACTCATTAATTGCTGTTTACCCAGATGGTTGACTTAATGCATGATGTGTGATGGCATAGCGTACAATTAAGCTGATTACTAATGTAAAAATCTGTTGATTTTCGACGACTGCGCGCACGATCAGATAAGTAAGCGTTCATGTTGCATTAAGTGCATTAATTCGATGATAGCTAAATTTAGATTAACGATCCCACTGATGATCAAACGTCGTAAAATTGTTGAAGTAAGTTGAATACATAGCACTTATTCACGGTAATATCAATGAGTGATGAGTCGACAATATTTCACTGATAACTTACTTGGCGTTGTATCCATCTCGAAAGAATTTCCTAATCGCACAAAGGCATCTGCCATTTTCTGCCAATTTGATCTGTATGCTAAAAACAAACACTTGGTAATATCTCCAAAAGACATATTCACCGACTGATGCAACGAAACGTCAAAGTGATTTTCGATATCACAGTATCTGTCGCGTTTACATTAGCTCATAACGAATTACGAGTAAGATCATTGTGTCAAATCAGCATGAGCCGTGAGATTGGTA